CCAATCTATGGTATTTTTGCTGCAGCAGCCTAAACAGAGTAAGGCAGGGAGCAACTACTAATAGGCATATTTTTTTGGATGATGAAAATGTTTGCAAATTAAAATACAGTGATGGTTGCACAATTCTTTAAATATCTGAAAAATCATTAAATAGTACATTTTAAATGGTGAACTTTATAGCATATAAATTATATTTCAATGAAGCTGTTAAAAAACTCACAGGCTGCCCTGGTCAGTTTTGCTCAGTGGTTAGAGCATTGGCCCACAGACCAATGAGTCGAGGGTTCAATTGCAGTCAAGGGCACGTACCTCGGTTGAGGTGCATCCCCCGCCCTGGTCAGGGTTGTGCAGGAGGCAACCAGTCGATGTGTTTCATATCGATCTCTCTCTTTCTCCACCCCCTCCCCACCTCCCATTTTATCTGAAAATAAATAGAAAAATATCCTCAGGTGAGGATTAAAAAAAAACCAAAAAAACAAAAGACCGGCACATTTTTAATGTTAATAGATGCCAAACTGTGTTCCAAAAAGACTGTACCACTTGACACTCTGTATATGCACTTGTTCAGTGATTCCAAAGCAGCATTTCACTACTCAATATAGGACCTACGTTTACATGGTATTTAGCTTTTCAAACAAAGACTGAAAATAAATTATTCATTCAACAAATATTAGTTGAGCCTCTACTATGTGTCAGAGATGGTTCTGGGTCTAAAGGTACAGTGGGCAACAAGCCAGATGTGCTTCCTGCCCTCAGAGTTACACATGGCGAGGGGTGCTCTCCTCAAACCTCACAGTCTACCAGGACCCCTGATCCAAAGTCAGCCTTAGGCCTTCACTGAAAATTTCATTCCACCATCCCCTTTCTCAAACTCCTTTTACAAAATTCCATGAAGGCACTCTTTGCCTGATAAAGGACAACCTGTGTACAAACTTTTGGGAAAGTACAAACTTATAAGAAAACATTTCTTTTTTGGTCTGCCCGTAAGCAGACTGCAAGCACTTAGTGGCCATATACTAGTGGGACCTATAGATGAACTAGTTTGGCACAGGTCTTAGGAAGCTCCCAGTTAGGGAGAGGCAGAATCCTGGGCATGAAAATAAAAGGGTGGAGCCAGGGTTGTAGGCACAGAGGATCTGATCAGAAAACAGTGTAACATGGAAACAATATAACAAAATTAGCTAACATTTAATGCACTCCCAGTAGGTGCCAGGCAATACACAATCTCCATTCATCTACAGACACCCAGATAAAATAGATATTACCAAAGAGAAACTGAGGCTCAGAAGGGTTAAGTGAATTACTCAAGTGATATAGCTAGCAACTAGCTGAAGCAGGATTCAGACCCTGTACAAAGCACAGGTTTCTTGCAACACCACCAGGCAGGATTTAATAAGGGGCCTTAGCTTGGATGAGGTTCCTGGGGCAGGGATCTGAGCCTAAATGTCACAGGGCTGGAGTGTTTTGGGGCACCCACAGGTGATCAGGTTTAGAGAAAATGACACACACTAACTTAATTCAACAAAAGTCTAAGGACAAACTGGAATCCAGTTTTGTCTCTAAAACTGGGGCTTGGCAATGACCAAGCAGAAGAGTGCTCATACTAGCAGAAGATGAGGTGATTTTATTCCAGACGATTTTCTCTTCCACTGTGACCACCTAGTGTAGAAGCTCTCTCACACAACCTTTCTGCCAGTCTTTAAGGGCCAATTCAAGTACCAGTGGCTTCATAAAATCCTCCTAGAATCCTCTCAGAATAGGTACACAGAACTAGTCAGAAGGCAGGACAGGGTACTGGGAGCCAGGCTTTGGAGTCAATAGGCCTAGATATAAGTCCAGACTTGATCGTGCACTTTCTGTGGATCCCAGACTATTCACTTCACCTCTCTGAGCCCCAGTGTCTTCACCTATAAATAGGGATAATATTGTCAAAAAAGCATTGTTTATCAGTAAGTTAAAAAAGAGTTACTGAGCCCCATTTATGAGCTAGATACCAAGTTAGGAACCAGGATTACAAAGATGATCAAAATACAGCCCCTGCTCTCAAACAGGTCATAGCCGAATCTGGGAGATGGACAAGTGAACAGGGTACCTACAATGTCCAATACGGGACTCATCGGACACATGTACCACCGGATGTGGTCAATCCACGCTGAGAACTACTTAAGTGTAAAATACATACTGGGCTTCAAAGACTCCATAAGATAAAAAAGAATACAAAATAATTTTAATAATTATTAATAATTTTCTGCTGTTTACAAGTTAGAATGGTAATATACAAAAATACTAAACTAAATTAAACACATTATTAAAATTAATTTTACCTGTTTTTGTTTTACTTTTTAAATTTGGCTACTAGAAAAGTTTAAATCACATATGTGGCTCAAGCTATATTTCTGTTGGACAGCGCTAGTCAAGAAAATTCAGTGAGGCAGTAAGGGCTGAGAAAGGGTCAGTGATGGATGGGGTGGCTAGAGTAGAGAGGGCCCAGGTGGGGATGGGGGAATGTCAGTGAAAACTTTCTGGCAGTGACATCTAAAGTGAGACCTAAAAAATAATAAGCATTAATAAGGCTAAGGGGCGTAGGGAGGGCAATCCAGGCAGCAAGACGAGCAAGTGCACAGGCCGAGCAGTAAGAAAGAACAAGGTGAGATCATTCATGACAAAGAGTTTGGCAGCCCGGCAGAGTGAAGAGCCCGGGAAGGGGACAGGGTAGGGAGAGGGAGGACAAAGGAGGCTGTGAAGTAGATGGGGCCCGATTAGGAAGGACCTTGGAAGCCCCATTAAAGAACTTCATCCTGGGTGTAAAAAGGAGCCAGGGAGGGTCTGAAGCATGTGAATGAGAGATTTGTATGTAGCCCCTGGGTCCTGTGAAGTCAAGGAGAACAGGGGAGACTATTTGATGAGTTACTAACCTGGGTGAGACACTGGGCTAAACCTCTCTAGACTCACCCACTTTACAGATGATGAAAACTGAGGCTCAGAGGGTAAGTGACTTATCCAAGGTCACAGGATTGTTAAGTGGCAGAATTGGGACTGTAACCCAGCTGGGTCTGGCCAACTGGCACCGAGATGAGAAAAGCTATCTGAGAGAATAATCATGGAGTTTATCTTAATGGCAATGAGAAGCATTAAACATATAAAGCATCAGACTGTGATGGTCTAAAAAGAACTTTCAAGAACTTACAAGTTAGAATGATAATATATGGGAATACTCAATTAATATTAGAGGCGTAAAGGAAAACTGGACTATCTGGGTAACAGGTCACAACACAATATATTGGGGCAGTGGTAGTAAGAGGAAGAGAACGAGACATGATGAACTACCATAGGATTCAATTAAGCTGCAAAGGGCCTGACTCTGCCTTATTCATAGTAGATTCTCTCTCTCTTTTTTTTTCTTTTCTTTATTGATTTTTAGAGAAAGGAAGGGAGAGGGTGAGAAAGATGAAAACATCGATGAGAGGGAACACTGACTGGCCGCCTCCTGCATGCCCTCCACTGGGGATTTGGCCCACGACCTGGGCATGTGTCCTGACCAGGAATCGAACGGGCGACCTCTTGGTGCATGGGTGGATGCTCAACCACTGAGCCACACCGGCCGGCCGGGCCATAGTAGATTCTCAATAAACAAAGTAACTATCTGTACAGGTTTGCCCAAGACAGGGCTTGTCTAGACCTGCTGTCCAACATAAATATTAATTGTGCCCATTTCACTCTTCAGAGCATCCAGGTTTCACAAGTAATATGGTCACCCTTTAAATTAGGGTCTGCCTGCCCTGGCCGGTTTGGCTCAGTGGTTGGAGCATCGGTCTGCGGTCCAGAGAGACCTGGGTTTGGTTCCCGCTAAGGGCACGTACCTTGGTTGCAGTTTGTCCCCGGCCCCAGTTGGAGTCATGCGGGAGATGGCCACTCAATATGTCCCTTTCATGTCAATGTTTCTCTCTCTCTCTCTCTCTCTCTCTCTCTCTCTCTTCCTCTCTCTCCTTCCCACTCTACCTGAACAAAAATGGAAAAATGTCCTCGGGTCAGGATTAAAAGAAATTAGGGTCTGCCAACTAAAAGCAGCAACCTGTCCCTAGCAGACCTGGATACACACTGCACTGTCCCAGTCAGGCTCTCCTCCCCATCCCGGGACCACTCTCCAACCAGGAACCCAGGACAACCAAAGGGCCCCGGCCCTAGGGCAGTGCAAGGCTGTCAGGCCTTCCCACCGGAAGGAGAGACCCTGGCCCCACCAGCAATGTGGACTCCATCTGCCTCTTGGGACAGGTCCATTGGGGGGCCTGTCAGCATTCCCCAATTTATATTACTATTGATGATGACGACCATGGCAACACAATCGTTTTTTAGGCACTGATTATGTGCCAGGCACCACACTTGCCAAGCAAATGACTGGGAAAGCGTCTTCTCCTTTAATCCTCACCCCAAGTCTGTTGGGTGGATATTACCACTAGCCCCATTTTACAGATGGGAAAGTAGGTGAAGTCACTCTACCAAGGTCACACAGCTGAAAGGGCTTGGATTTGAATCCAATTCTGTTCAACTCCAGCCAAGGTTCTTAACCATGGCAGTCCATTGCCTTCGCCCTGGTGGCCTCTCTGTGACCCCACAAGCAAAGTCTGGACAGACCAACTGCATTCCCCATAATGAAAGCAAACCCCCAAACCAGAATGAACCGTCAAGTGCCCTCAGGGTCCTGCCCCTCAACCAGCTCCCACTAAGGGCCCCCCTGGGGGCCCCCTCCGCCCGCTCCCCTGAGCAGCCTCCCCTGTCCCTCACCCCGTCTCCCGAGAATGTCCCGAAACACGAAAGGCGAGTGTGGTGCGGTCGGGACCCCCAGCCCCCCACACTATCAGCTGATGGGTCCCCAAAGAAAGCGACCCCACACCTGAAACCCTCACACATCCTCAAGAGCAAACCCCTGTTCTCCGCTGGAGAACCCCCATCAGCGGGAACCCCGCCGCGGTTACCGTGAACCCCCTAAAGCCGGGCCGCACCTGCAGCCGCTGAGCGTCCCGGGGAGGGTGACGTCCTCTTCCAACACCGAGTCCATCACGGACTTCGAGGAGGTGGTGGCATTGGTGTCTGTGGTGGCGACACCACTGGTCCCCGCTGCGGTCGCGCGCGGCCCGCCCGGCTCTGCAGGTCTCCGCCCCCTCCAATCCAGCTCCTGTTCGGACTCCGGCGGCGCCGCTGGAATTCAAACCGCAGCCGCCGCCATCTTTCCCGGCGCTTCTTCCTACGGAAACGAGGCGGGGTCAACGAGGCGCGCGCGGTGAAGCCGACCAGCCGGGACCGAAGCCGGGCCGGCCAGCGCGGGCGGGCGCCATCTTAACTAAGGGCAGGACGTCCAGGACCAGCAAGACTAAGGAAAGGGAGTCCGGCGGCCATGTTTGGTGAGGGCAGCCAGGCCGAGGCCGGGCGGGCGCCATCTTTGTTGAGGGCTAAGGTCGGCCTTGGTCCGTTAATTGAAGCGGGAATTGGGAATCCGGCCGCTCAGGGACCTTCAGAGTGGGTAATCTGCTCCGTGTTTTTCTGAATCATGACCACGAACCTTGCAGTCTGTTCTGCCGGAAGACCTTTTTCCGCCTGGACTTGAAACTCATTAGATAATCCGGTGTTGCCTCTCTTTAGAAAAATCTTACCTGTAGAACCCCAACTCTAGTAGTAATTTGCACACTTAATTGGAAACAAGCTCATTCCTGTGAGCCAAACGGTCAGCAACACTTACTCTCCCGTCTCTCCTGGTGATTTCTTTAATACCTTTGGGGCTCAGACGCACTTGAGATCAGTAAGCTGAGGCCCAGAGAGACACAGTGACTCGCCCAGAGTCGTGCACAGTAGCTTGTAGACTGGAGCGGGTCCCGGGCTCCAGCCGCTGCCTCGGGGCCCTGCTAACCCTGCTGCCTTTCCTAAAGCACAGCCGTCCCAAACATCTGCATGATGGGGCAGAGCTTGGCCAGGGGCCCCACCTTTGCCTTGCCCTGTCGGGTCCTCTGCCTTCCTCTGCAGGCTGTCAGGAGAGTCCTGGATAAAAATAACCTGAAAAGACGGGTAAGCGAGTTGATGGTGATTTTCCCTGTAATCACGCATAAGTCGACCCTCAGCCTTGGTTTCCTCAGTCTTCACTTGGTTACTTTCCGAAAGAGGCCTTCTCTAATCCTCCAGTATTCATCAAGCTCTTTCTTGAATCCTTGGTAAGGGTGTTTTTCCTCGGTGGCACTTACCACATTTTGCAAGTATAGATTTCCATGTTTGTTTGCTTGTTTTTCAGTGTCGTCCTCTTGCACCTGACGGGAAGCTCCACGAGAGCAGAGACTATATTCTGAGTTGTTTACTGTTGTACCACCACCACCTCTCACAGTGGCTGCCACTCAGCAAGTGTTTCAAAATACATGTTGAATGATTCAATCCATCTGGGAAATGGGGCTAAAAACCCATCCTGCAAGGATGTGAGGATGACCTGAGATACCTGGAACAGTTCAGTCAATGGTAACTGCACATAGCCCATATTTATTCTCTCTCGTTTTCACTCTGTGTGTGTGTGTGTGCGTGTGTGTGTGTGTGTGTGTGTGTGTCCCTGAAGCTACTAAAGCACATGGTCCTGTGCCTGTCCCTCTTCCTTTCCCAGATCTTCAACAACCCCCAGAATCAGCAGTAAACCAACACACCCTGAAAGAGTGAGCAGGAACCAGTTGGCTCAGGGAGGAGGCAGTGCTGGGAGCCCTGGAACCAACATCCTTGGCAGTGCTAAGTTCCATCATGAGACGAGTGTGTCCCAAAGCAGGAAGCTGGTTCTGCCACTGACTGCCTGTGATCTTTGGCCAACCACTCCTCTTCTCTGGGCCTCAGTTTCTACATCTGTAAAATAAGAGGGTTGGACGGAATGGATGTCTCAGGACCTCACAGCTCTGGAGGCAATTTCTCTGTGTGTTTTTCAAAGCTACTAATGCACAACCAACTATGTTCTAGTGAGGGAGGCTGAGTTACAAATCGTCACTTCTCAAATGAAGGAACTAACTTTCCATCCAGCAGATAAAAGCTCTTGACAAAGGAAACAAGGAAGAGGATTTACACATTCTGAGCCTCTCTCTCTCTTTTTTTTTTATCCTCACCAGAGGACATTTTTTTATTTTTTGTTCAGATAGAGTGGGAGGGAGAGAGAGGAAGAGAGAGAAACATCGATGTGAAAGGGACACATCGAGTGGCTGCCACCCACACGAACCAACCAGGGCCGGGGACAAACCGCAACCGAGGAGGTACACACCCTTAGCGGGAACTGAACCCGGGTCTCTCTGGACCGCAGGCCATCGCTCTAACCACTGAGCAAAACCAGCCAGGACAATTCTGAGCCTCTCTTACGTGCCACTTGTGACAGGCACATCACACGTACCACCTCATGTAACCCTCCCACAACCCTCTGGAGTAGCTCAGCTATTATCCCCATTTCGCTTACAGATGAGAAGACGGGGGCCGAAAGGTAAAAATAACTTTCTCAAGGTCTCACAGCTGGTCAGTAGCAGAGCTGGGATTTGAGCTTAGGTCTCTCTAAACGCCAATGCACTAATTGTTTCAGGCAGCCTGTCTTCCCTATTTGTTTCTTTTTCTCCGCTTGAGAATTTAGGATTAAGAGGTGAGATCTACATCCAGACACCAGTATTTCAGGAATGTGTTCAGCAGACTCCTTGGGCAACTGCTTCAAGGTGGCCCCAAGGTACATCGTAGTGTGGACAGTCTGACTGCAGACTGGGGGTCTGGGTACCAGTCTGCAATCAGACTGTCCACACTACGATGTAGAGTGGACTCTGAGAGTCCTCTGACGTCCTGTGACCTGGAATACCTTGCCCTTGCTCCTCCTTAGTTTCTCCATGTGTTAAATGGGGCAGACAATGCTGCACTCATACGCTTGCATTATCTGATTAGATACTTGGGAAACTATAAAGAAATAAGAGCCTATGAGGGAGTTCTCCTTATGATTAGTCCATTGCCCCATTCAGAAAAATGACTATGTTCCTGGATTGTGTGCTAAGCCCTTTCGTGAACCTGGAAACTGAAAATAGAACCCATCATACAAAGGATAGGCTATTTGGGAAGTTGTTTTTCCTGTTTTCATAGTCAGGGATGAAGCCCTTTGCCCTGTCTCTGTCTCGCCATGGCCTTTCTTTCTGCCAAGCCTAGAGGTGACGTCACTACCACCAGCTGTCTGGGCTATCTGGCGCCATCTCCTTGACAACAGCCGCCCAGCCACAAAGCTGGCATTATTATTTCCTTGGGCAAGGTCATAGCGAATGGCTGTGAGGAAGTAGCTTGCAGCCAGATGTTTCTCATTAGGGGGCAACCCTCCTGAAGTTTTAGCAGCTCAAGCATCTCATCAAGACACATGAGCTGCCACTACTAACAGCAAGAATACCTTTGTCTAAGATAACTACATACACATTGCTACTTCACATTGTTGCATTTTATCCTCATGACTCTGTGAAGTCCATTGGAATTATTGCCCTGCTCTACAGATGAGAAAACTAAGGCTCGGAGAAAAGAGAGATTTGCCAAAGGCCACCTTTTTCCTGTCTTTCTTTTTCTTTTTCTTTTTCTTTTGGTACGTACCCTTAGCGGAAACCGAACCCGGGACTCTCTGGTCCACAGGCCGTCACTCCAGCCGCTGAGCCAAACCGGCCAGGGCCTGTCTTTCTTTTTTAGCTTCCCATTTAGAAATAACTTCAGACTTAGAAAAGAGTTGCAAAAATCCCCTACATTGCCTTCACCCAGCTTCCTAAAATAAATGTCACACCTTGACATTTAATTCTAACACCTTATATAACCATACCACAATTGTCAAAAATATGAAATTACATTGATACAATTTTATTGGGTGATTTACTACAGACCTTAGTTAAAGTTAATCAGTTTCCCATTAGTGCCCTTTTTCTGGCCCAGAATTCCACCCTCATTTAGTTGTCATGTCTCCTTGCTGTCCACTCATCTGTGACACTTCCTCTGTCTGTTTCTTTCATGACATTGACACTTCGTAGAATTTCTTGCCAGTTATTTGATAGAATGTTTCTTAATTCAGGTTCATGTGGTGTTCTCCTGATTAAATTGAGATAATGCACTTTTTGGCAAGAATAACACAAAAGTGATGTATGCCTTTCTCGGGGTATCGGGAGGCAGATGATGTTATAATATGTCTCATTAATTGGTGATGTTAACTCTAATCTCTTGGTTAAGGTGGTATCTGCCAAGATTCTTCCTGGCAAACTTACTATTTTCTTATAATTAATAAGCATCTTGGGGGTGATATTTGAGCCTGTCAATAGCTTGTTTTTAATCAAACTTTCACCCACTAATTTTATCATCTGTTGATAATTCTTACCCAAAACAATGATTACGGTGGTATTTGCCAGTTGGCGATTTCCTATTTTCATCATGCCTTCTATATTTATTAGTTAGAATTCTAATGTAAGGAGAGCTTTCTGTTCTCCCCATTATTCAGTTATAATCTATTACTATCGTTATTTCTTGTGTTATTGGTTTGTTCTAGATTTGGCCAAGTCTCCCTTCAAATACATAGGTGTGCCAAGATGCAAACCCAGGTCTGTCTGGTCCCAAGGTCAGAGTTTTTCTAGCACGCCCCCCTGCCCCCTTACTTTGAAGAACTCTTCCCAGCCAGCCCTCACCATCAGCAGTACTTGACCGATTCCCAGAGGTATCCACTGTCTTCTCCAGAGTGCTGGGTTACTAAGCCAGTCACCTTCTAGGCCCAACATCTAGTCTAGCCTCAGGCTATTTTTATAACGGGTGCTCAAGGCCAGTTTGTCAAATTAACTCAAAGTCCTGACTTTTCTGAAGATGGGAAGAAGAGTGAGAACTGCCCCTATCAAGGCAACAGCATGGATATTATTGGGCCAGCCAGGGTAACACACATCAACATGGTATCAACTTAGACCTGCCAGTTCAACTTTCTGGGCTTATTTTCTTATCTGTAAACTCAGTGCGTTAGACTACAACATTGACACCCCCTTCCACACTGACATTCCAGGAATAACTGACATTAGCTACCATGTGTTGAGCTCTTTCTATGTGCCAGGCACTGTGTTAAACTTGACATTTAATTCTCACAATAACCATATACAATAGGGACCAATTTTGCTCCAATTTTATAGTTGGCAAAATGGAGGCTCAGAGAGGAGAGGGATTTGCCTGGCCACACAGCAGCTCAGTGGTG